AGAAGAGGGCGGGAAGCCTGAGTGGTGAGGGAGCTGGAGGAAAACTGTGCCCAGGGCCCCATTAGCACCCATCTCTCGCACCTCAGTCTTCCCCAGGAGGCGGGCCCCCAGGGCTGTGTGAATGTATGCGTTGCGGGAGGAGGCCGCTCTCCCTGAGGGAGCCGCTGTGGTGAGGATCTAGAAGGAAGGTATACCCTCACCCTGAGCAGGCTGGCCCCCTCACCTGGGCCCCAGCCAGCCAGGGTCACAATGTCGACAGTGCCCGGTGTCTGGCTGGCAGGCCTCCCCAAGCCGGCAGTGGGGGCACTGCTGCCTGCAGCTCTCGCCAAAGGTGCCAGGAGGGCAGGGCTCGTGGCACTGAGTCCCATTCCAGCCCGGCTCGCAGGACTCGCAGCTACCCGTGTCTGCAGAACATGGCTCATTCTGCTTGCAGTGGCCACAGCTGGGAAGAGAAAGAGTACATGCAACACTAGGAGAGCCTCCCGGTGCCAGCTGGGCCACTCAGGCAGGTTCGAGCCTCAGCTGCCCCGTGTTGTACAACGAAGAGGCTGGGCAGACTACCTCTGTGGGCTCTAGTAGGATTCCAGCCTTTTCCTAACCCCTGGTTCTGAGCCCCATCCTTCCCTGAGTCCCAGAGTCACCAGGAGCTCCCAGCCCAGCCAGGGAAGCCAAGTTACGACCTCAGTCTCTGCTTCCCTTCTGCCCAGGGTTCCCCTCCTCCCCTTTTCCCCTTCCCCCATTCCACCCATGCCATCTCGGAGGTCTGGCGTGAGCAGTTTTCAGTAGTGTATCCTCTATGCCATTTTATGCATTATGAAAACGCATAAAATGTCTGTTTTCACCACTAGAATTTTATCTCACATTTTTTTCCAGTTTTACTGAGTTACAATTGACATCCAGCACTGTATAAGTTTCAAGTGTGCGGCATAATGACCTTCTCACATATATACTGTGACACGACTACCAACAGAAGTTTAGTTAGCATCCGTCATCTCATATCGGCACCAAAAAGCGGGAAAAAAGGTTTCTTCCTGGTGGTGAGAACACTTAAGATCCACTCTTTTAGCAACTTTTCCAGTAAGGTTTATCTTATCTTAATATCTCATTGATCCTTACTTGAAGTTTTCCCCTCCAGAGACTTAATTATCTGGGATCACGTGCTTCGATCAGACTCATTAGTAGGGTGAGGAAGGGAGTTCATAAAATCAATTTAGCAGATCCTGACCGGTATTAAAAGAAAGAGAGAGAGAGAGAGAGAATAGAAAACATTTCGGTGTACATATGTGTGTTGTCTGGTTAAGTTTTTACTTCAGTTAATATATATCGCATCATATATTATATATGAATGGGAGGTAAAGCATTTCTTACTGTGGGTGGAACTGGTCAAAGTTTGAAAGCCATTGAGTTTCAGAGGGACCTTGCAATCCTTTTGCCACAATGTTGATTCTTTATCTGTTTCTACGGCTTGCTAGTAGTAGTATTTTGTTTAACAGTAAGCGGATGAAAGTGGTGGGCGAGGCTGGACTTTAGGGCGTCGAGGGACTCTTTTTCCCCTTTCACCCCATCCTTGTCTGTTTCTGCGCAACATTCTCCCTGCGCCCCCGGCTCATCCCCTTTCCCTCCCGTTCTCTCCTCTTCCTTCTCACGCCCTCCTCCCTCCCTTCTCTCCCGCATACCCCGTTGCCCCGGCTCACCTATCGCGGCACTGAAGCCCGTAGCGGCCTGCGGGGCAGGGCAGCTCGCAGCGCGCGCCGCGGAAGCCGGGCGGGCATGTGCACAGGCCGGAGGCGGCGCTGCAGCGGCCGCGCACGCACTCGCAAGGCTGCCGGCACTCGGAGCCCCACCAGCCGGGCCGGCAGGCGCAGCGGCCCGACTCCTGCGCGCACGGCGAGCCGTGGCAGGCGCAGCGGAAGCTGCAGCGGCGGCCCCACCAGCCCGGCTCGCACAGGCAGGAGCCGGTGGCCTGATCGCAGCGCGCCGCCGCCGGGTTGCACTGGCATGGGCGGCGGCACGTGGGCGACCACCAGCCGGGCTCGCAGCGGCACGCGCCGGTCTCGGGGTTGCAACGCCCGTGGGGGCCGCAGGCGCACGGGAACTCGCAGCGGTCGCCCCAGCGGTCGGATTGGCAGTGGCACACGCCCGTGGCCGGCTCGCACTGGCCGTGCGGGTGGCAGGCGCAGCTCTCCCGGCAGTCGGGGCCCCAGTACTGGCCCGGGCAGCCTGCGGGGTGGGGGGAAGGGAAGGGGGTCAACGGGCTCAGGGTCAGGCACCACGGATCCTCGCCCTGCGCCCCCTTCCACAAGGAAGAGGTGGGGAGCCGGGCCCGCCCTCTAAGAGCCGGGGACAGCCTGTCCTCCTGGGGCACAGCTTACTTCCTGCCCCAGACTCTGAACTACACAAATCCTTACCACTGGCCCAGCCTCCCACTTCCACATTCCAGAACACACTTAAAGATCACGAGTGTATGGGCTTCCCTGGTGGCGCAGTGGTTGAAAGTCCGCCTGCCGATGCAGGGGACACGGGTTCTTGCCCCGGTCCGCGAAGACCCCACATGCCGCGGAGCGGCTAGGCCCGTGAGCAGTGGCCGCTGAGCCTGCGCGTCCGGAGCCTGTGCTCCGCAACGGGAGAGGCCACAGCAGTGAGGGGCCCGCATACAGCAAAAAAATAATAAAAAAAAAAGATCACGAGTGGCAAAGGGCCTTGCCCAGAGTCACACAGAAGTGGGTGTGCCTTCATTTATGCCCCTCCTCCCTTTCATTGGGTTCCCCCATTGTGTCTTCCCCCGCCTGGATGCTGCCCATCCGGGTCGAAGAAGAAGCCACATTCCCCCCAGTGTCTCCTCTCAACCCTGACTCCTAGCCAGGCTGCCCTCTGGCTAAACTGCCCACCAACCCCTCTCCCATGCCCCACTTTCTGCCAGAGAGGAAGGACATTCCAGTCACCCTCCACACGCGCATACGGGGAGACCAAGAATGCATCCATTCTGCAGTTAACGGGGATCCACAGCATCTTTCCGGAAGTTGAAAGGGAAGATGAATGGCCCAGAACTGAACCTGTGGGAGGGCTCTGTGGGTGGGATAAAAACCAGATGACTCAGGACATCCCCTTAGAGTGCGTCACTTCCTGTCTCGACCTCAGTCTCCTCAGCGAAGCTTGGAGGGATTCTGGCCCTGCTGTTCTAAGATTACATTCCTACAAGCTTTGCCTCCCCTCTCCCCCAGTCCTGCCCGGCAACCTCATCCTTCAGGAGACTCAGGACTCACGCGAGTTGCACCGGGCCCCGAAGAATCCAGGTTTGCATCGACAGAGGCCTGGTTTCACACATACCTCGTCTTCCCGGCAGACGTCCAGCCCCTCGCAGATGGCTGAAAAACACCCCACCCAGGTTGGAAGGACTGGGGTGCGGCCAGGGGACACTCTGCTCCTTTCACTGACTCCCGGTGGCCTGTCCCCCTCAAGAGCTGTTTCCCCAGGGCTGGGGGGTTGGGTCACGGCATGGACCCTAGCTCTAGGGCTCAGGAGGGCAAACAGACCCCAGGAGGGTAGGAAGGAAGGGTCACTGGGCTCTGTCCTCCCTTCTCCTCCGGTGGGGGGTGCATCCTGGCTACTCACGGGTGGTGCATTCTCGATCATTCTGCCTCCAGCCTGGGCAGCAATGGAGCTCAGCAGAGGGGCTGTGGGGCAGAGAGGGGTCAGCCGGGGGGCAGCCTGGCTCCGCAGGTGGATCACTGTCTCCCTGAGACATGGGATGCTGCCTCAGCCCCATCGGGCAGGCCTGGCCAAGGGTCACAGCCCCCGTGTCCCCGACCCCTTCCCGCTCTGTCCCTGGCCATCCCACCATCTGCCCCCACTACCCACTAGGCTGTCCCCGAGCCCCTCTCGCTTTAGCCCCTCTTTCCTCATGTCCTCCTCCTCCCCCATCAAACCCCCAGAAGACCCACCTGCTGGCCATGCAGACGTGCCGCCCATTGGGGTCCAGCTCAGACCCCTGGGTCCCCCGAGTCCAGAGCAGCAGCAGAAGGAACAGGAGCCCCAGCCCCATGGCGGCCAGTGCAGTGGGAGGGCTTGGGTTAGTCTGGCCCCCACAGCTCCCAACCCCCTCCCTGCTTCCTCCCAAGGCTTTTCCTGAGGAAACCAGGCCGGAGGGGCGGGCTGCCATGAGGCACCTCCCTGAGAAGTTGGGCAGGCGCAGAGAGGACCAGACACCAGCGTACAGAAAGGAAAAGGAAGGCCAATGGCGAGGGCTGAGCAGGGGCTTCAGGGTCTGGTCTCAGTCTGGTCGGGGGGCAGGAAGATGAGGCTGTAAGTTACGGGTACTGGGATAGGCGAGGGGGTGAGCCATGGATATCCACTAGGTCACACTCCCCAGTGGAGGTCCACGCTGGGAGAAGCCTCCCCAGCCAGTGACAACCAAGGGGAACTTCCTGGCAGAGCTGGGCAGGGGCAGACCACTGACAGACAGACATGGAGCAGTTTCTGGGTATCACGGGCAGTTGCTTTATTACATTAGCTTAGGCCATCCATACAAACACCTGGGAGGGAGGTAGTCAACTCTCCATTTCATGGATGGGGAAACTGAAACTCACAGAAGCAGCACTTTTATCTGGCCCTGGAGGCTTGGCACAGAGATACAGGAAGGAAGGTAGGTTGAGCTCCCCGTCACACCCTGGCTCAGGCCAGGGTTAGAAAAGAGCCTGGGGAGGGCGGGGAAGGAGGGAGACCTGTCCTCATTTGAGGTCACACGTCCACCCCCAGACAGACTCCGGAGTCAGGCAGGCCTCTGGGGCAGCTGAGACCCCTCATGAAGATATTCATCGAGAGCAGAGCAGGGCCGGTCAGGAGTTGGGGGCTGTCAGGCTGCCCACAGGCTCCACGGGGGTGGCTGTGGAGCCTCCTCTCCTCCCCGTATTCTCGCTGGTAGCCGCAATGCTGGCCTCAGCCTCAGGGGCCTCTGTTCCACCCTGACACCACAGGCCCAAGCTGGGGGGAGAGCCAAGAGGTGCTGTGAGCCTGGATGCCAGGGAGGTCAAGGATAGGGGCCGAAGGCAGGGGGTGCTGTAAAAAGGGGACTCAAGAGGACGACAGGGCAGCATGAGGCAGGGGGAGGTAAAGGGGCCACCAGAGGAGCGGGAGGGGACGGGCATGCTCAGAGCTCAGGGCGGCTGGGTGAGCCACAGTGGAGCGGGAAAGGTGGGGTCCCTCCACTCCCACCACATTTGTCCTTCCTCTTCCCCCAACATACAAACTCTGTATTCTGGACTCAGGGGGTGGGGGCTGGAGGTGGTCTCCCTTATCCCTGGAGAGCAGGAGCCATGAGCCATCCTCATCGTCACTGAGGCAGAGGAGAGAGGAGTTGTGAGGGTCATTTGTCAAGGCCCTGAGGGACAGCGGGACTCCAGCTATGTTCAGCCTTCTGTGCAGCCCCCAGGAGCAGGCAGGGGAGGACAAAGAGACTTCAGGGGCCCCAAAGCTAGAGACAAGGAAGAGCAGGGGAGACGGAGGACAACTAGAGGATTTTTTTTCTTTTTGGCCGTGCCCCACGGCGTGCGGGATCTTAGTTCCCCGACCAGGGATCGAACCTGTGCCCCCTGCAGTGGAAGCACGGAGTCTTAACCACTGGACCGCCAGGGAAGCCCCCTCCTGAGGCTTTTATTTTCTAGCCTGACACACAGCAGGCCCCTGACAAGACTGCAGATACAGCCTTACCCATCTGAGAACAAACAGATATGCAGCCAAGACAAGAAACCGAAAACTGACTGTGGAGAAGCAGAATCAGCAGGTTTCTTCAGCAGGATGTACAGGGAGCACGGCAGGTGGGAGCAGTGCGATCCAGAGAGAAGGGTGGTGGGCTCAGGACGGCAGGCTCAGGGGATGACCAGGCCAGGTTAGGTTCTAGAAGTGACTAAGCTAGGTGACAGGCTCAAGGTGTGACTAGATCGGGGTGACAGGTACAGTCTGAGGCAACAGGCTCAGAAGGTGACCAGGCTCAGTGGGAGTGGAGGCAGGGACTTACCTGCTCTCTGCTTCCTCTGGGGTCCCTAACATCTTGGACTTGATCTTCCTTCGTTGCTTCCTGATAGCCACCTTCATGGCTTCGAGCAGAAGCCCGGGGACCCGGTGGTCTGTGAGCAGCTCCCTACAGAGGAGGGGGAGGGGCAGAGAAAAAGCAGTGGGGATGCCAAGAGTAGGTCTCGTCCCGACCTTAGTTTAGATGTCACCCCTCCTAGGAATACTTCCTTGATGGCTGCTGTGACCCTTTGCAATGGCCCACCCCATGTGGAAGAAGTTCCAGGAGGGCAGGGGCTTTGCGATTCTCGTCCTCCAGTGCCCAGCACAGTGCCCGGCACACGACAGGGTGGATATATCGATGACCCAAAGAATGAGGAGGGTGAACCGAGGCCTGGGAACAGGTGCAAGTGGTGCCCCCGAGCCTCCCCACCCCTGTCCTGCGCCCTCACCGCTGGAAGTAGGCCAACTCCTCCTTCAGCAGGAACACATTGGCTTTGAGCTCATTCCTCTCCTGAAGGATCTGTTCAACCTCCTGTCGACTGAAGGCGCACTGCCCTACCTTGCGGGGGCGTCCTGGCGACGGCAGGGCATCCGCCTGCGGAAGGACAGGCTTGGTCAGGGGGGCGCCTCGGTTGGAGAGGGACGCTAGAGGGTGACTGGCAGGGAGACTTGGGAGGCCAGGGCGCTACAATAGATGCCAGACCGGTGCTCTGGCTGAGACTGGGGGCGGAGGCCGGCTGGGGGCGCACACTCGTGCCGCCTTCCAACTTCCCGGTGGCCCTAACTACGCAGCACAGCAAACCTTTCCCGAGTGCCGGACCGGTCCCTGACCTCATCCGGCACTCACCCGGTCTTCAGGGGTCCCCGGGGCTCCTGTGCCCGCGGCTGCCGTCTCGGGCTCCTGCCTCTGCTCGCACCCGGGCGCCGCGGCCTGGCCGTGCGCCTGCTCTGGCGCGGGCTCCAAGGTCGCTTCGCGCCGCCGCTCTGATTCGCTCTCGCGGTCCCGCGCGGCGCGCAGCTGGGTTTGTACTGCGGCCAGCTTGTGCCGCAACTCCGCATTCACCAGCAGGAGGCGCTGCAGCTGCTCCTGCAACTGTGGGCGGAGCAAAGGGGGCTGGTGGGCGGGGCGCCGGAGGGTCGGGAAAGCCCCGCCCCCGCACGTCGCCCCGCCCTGCCCTCACCGCCTCAGTCTTCTGGCTGCGCTGCCGCAGGTCGCGGTTGTGCGCCCGGAGTTCATCCCGTTGGCGGTCGGTCACCTCCTTGAGCTGCCGCAGCAGAGCGCGCTCCTCTGAGGAAGGGGCGTTCTCAGCGGCGGCCCGCGGGGAGAGGCCCTGAGCCTCCCCGACCCCGGTTCCCGGCAGGCCCGCACTCACCCTGTGGTCCAGAGCGCAACTCTCTGCAGAGGCGCTCGTTCTCCTCCCGCAGCTGCCGCAGCTCGAGTTCGGCCTGCTGCGCGGATACCTGCAGCTGGAGAGGCCGCGCCGTCAGGGCCGGGCCCCACCAGCCCGCGGGCGGCTACGGGAGGGCGCCGTGACTCACCGAGTCCGGGGCGGGCCCCACGGCCGCCTTTTCCAGGAGCTCCAGCGCCTGCACCACCAGCGGCACGAGCCCGGCCGCCGCCTCCGGCCCGAAGCGGCAGGCCAGCTCCTTCAGCTCAGTGCCCAAGGCCCCCGCTAGGTGGTACACGAGCTCCGCAGCAGTCCCCGACCCCGCGGCCACCCGAGGCCCCCAGCAGTGCGCCCCAGGCCCCACCCTCCTGGGCTCCATGTCCCCCGAAGGCGACTAGGGCTGCTACACCCTCCTCCCCACAACTGGGGAAGGAAAAGGCCAACCAGTCGTGGCCCAGGAAGCAGTTTAGGACGGTAGAGGGCGGGGTAGTGATTAAGGGAAAAAGGCTGGGGAAGGAGAGTCTCAGTGCCCTGCTCCCTGTCCTGTTCAAGCCCCCAAGGTCACAGGAAGCAGGACAGCCAACTTCCAGCCAGGTGTCCAGGAGCTGAGGCTTAGGGCTGTAAGTGGTCACTTTCGACAAGCCCTCCCCACAGTGCCCACACCAGGCTCCACCCCTGTGTCTGGAGTCATGGGGCCTGACTTGGCTGCCAACTCTCCGGGCAAGAGGTGAGAGGTAGGAGAGCTGTCACTGGCCTCAACCAGAGGCAGCCGACTGTCCAGCCATGTGCCTGTTTCCAAGACAGATTGAGAGTGACACAAAGCTTAAAGGGCTAGGCTGGGCACCACAGCTGCAGACTGCTCCAAGAGATGTTGGAAAGTGGTGAGTGTTCCCAAGTATTTTGGAGGGAAACTGGCAAATGTCGTCATGGCAGCAGGAGTGTGAAGGCCCAAGTCCCCTTCAGTTCTCTGAGTTTAGAGAATATTTACCCCCATAGCTCCTGAATATCAGGGGGCCTCAAGGATCAGTCCAGCAGCTTGCTGTGAACAAGTCTGGCCTCTGCCACCCTTACACCCAGAATTCGAGCTGAGGGAAAAAAAAAAAAAAACCTCAACAACTCGTTTATACAAAATTTATTATACTTTGTTCAGAATTACAAGTCACCACGAGGTCAACAACATAAGCACAAAGTAGAGGAAAATGGGGCCAAGCTGTTGAATGTCACCAGCTTGTCTGTGAGGGTAAAAGGCTCTAGCCTCTGGGGAGTCTGAAGCAGGAGGTGAGGAGACAACTAGGCATAGAGGTCCTCTCGGTCCGCAGAGTAGACCTCGCCCTCCTGCAGGAGAGCAAAGTTGAGGAAGTGGGAGGGTCTGTGCACCTCGTGGTAGAACTCTTTGGGGTTTGCCAGCTGTAGCTCATACTTCATGTTGGGATCATGCCGAACACCTTGGAGTAGAAGGAAAGGGCCAGTGTTGACAAGGTCCACCTGCCTCACCCTGCTGGGTCCTGGGCCATCTCCAAACCAGAGTCCGGCCCTAAGTGATAAGGGTGATGGCCTAACCCCAAGCCCACCATCCTGTGTGCCCCGCCACCACCCCACACCCTGCCTCACATACCCATAAAGTTGTAGTTCCACGAGGACTGGGCAGGGACCATAAAGAAGCCAAGGAAGCGGTCTGACAGTAGCATCTGGACCCTCTCGTAGTGCGAGGGTAGGTAGCCCTTGGGGTTGTTGCCCTTGTCTGTGTTCTGGCGGCCCCATTCATAGCCACTGGGGGTCAGCTTGTAGGCTGTCAGGGTGCAGGAGCCTGGTGTGAAGCTGGAAGAGGAATGAGGACAGAGTCAGCGCTCAGGCCACCATTCCTGGGCCCTGGCCTGCAATGCCTGCCCCATCGTACCTCCTCCCAAGGCGGCCCAACCCCACCTGCAGGTGATGATAATGGTCTTCTCGCCATCCCAAGATGGGTTGTCAGCCATGATCTTGGCATGGGTGGTGACATCCTGGGGTGACAGCTGGGGGGACTCATTGGGCTGAGTGTGGATCCAACCTAAGGGTTCCATCTCCTGTGGGTAGAGCAGTGAAAAGCTATTTAGAGCCCCGTCTGCAGACAGGAATCCCACCCGTGACAGTAACACCCCTGCCTTCCCTCCACCACCTTGAGAGCAGAAAGCCCCGGTTCTCCTACACCCCCGCTAACCTTGAGGTACTCATGCTGGGGCAGCTGGCCAGGCAGGTGCACAGTCTGGTGAGTGCCCCACTGTGGTACCATCACGATGCAGCGGATCTCCTTCACCTGGGGGTTATCTGGTGGGCTCACCCCATAGAGGTACCCTGCAATCTGGAGACAAGGGGGTCAAGAGCCAAAGAGAGTACCAGCCCAGATTTGGGACCGTCAGCCCTGTGTTTAATTCCCTTCTCCGAGAGCAAGGACAGTTTCTCAAATGTGGCCAGAATGTCCTGCATCAAAAACGCCTGGGGGTGCTTATTCAAAACGTTAGACACAGACCTCACCTCAGACTTACCAGGGGTGCTTATTCAAAACGTTAAACACAGACCTCACCTCAGACTTAGCACAGCAGAATCTCAAGCGGGGTCCAGGAATCAGCACTGCTCACACATTCCCCAGTTGATTATTTAAGTATTTAAGTAGTGTCCATAAACAAATGAGCACACAAGCACAGAGCTCATGCATTTCCACAAACTGAACACATCTATAAAATCAGCACTCAGCAGTACTTTAAATTTTACATTGTCATGAACAAAGTAAGAAAACTTGTGTTCCTATAAACTCACCCAACACAGGATACTAACAATCTTCAAATTCACCAAACTGAGGCCACAAGTTGGTGTTTTATAATATGATTCTCCCTGATTACTAGTAAAGTTGACCATCTTTTCATATATTTTCCACCTTCAGTTCCTTTTCTGAACTACCTTCATACTCCTTTGCCCATTCTTCTACAGTTATCTTTTATAAAAATCAACTCTGAGAATTCCCTATTCTAGATCCAAACCCACTATATCTTAAGAGTTATGCAAATATTTATTTCCTGTTTTTAGTTTGTCTTTTGTGGTACCCTTTGTCATGCACAAATTATTAATTTTGATGATGGCTTTGTGTCTTGTTTAAGAAGGTTATCCTAACTTTAAGACGATAAATATTTTCTTCTAATATTTTACTACAGTTTAGTATTTTACGTTCAGATTTGTACTCCACCTGGATTTGACTTCTGTTAAGTGCTATGAGGCAGGGATCAAGCCTCCTTTTGCTGACTGTTTCAGTATCATAAGGCACGCTTAATCCCACAGATGAAGTGGGATCCTCAGGTGATACAATACATTTATTATATACACATGAATCTGTTTCTATATATCCTCTTCCAATAACTTCTAGGCCAAAAATACATCATTTCTCAATTGCCATAGCTTTATAATGTTTTGGTATCTGGTGGGGGCCGAAACCCTCCTCCCTCCCTGTTTTGGCTATCCTTGTATATTTACTCATCTATCAATTTCAAAACCAGCACCTCCAGTTCCAGGAAATCTCAGGTGAGTTTTAGGCACATAAAATGTTTGGCACACACTGTGGCCTAGTTGAACAAACATACTCACTTGGGCCCGAAGGTCAGATATGCAGATAAACTTCTTAAGCACGTTCTTGGGAAGAATATAGGTATAACCAGTCTCCTTGATGTCATCAGATGAAACATAGATGTGATTGGTCCTTAAGTGCAGGTTGGCGGCAGAGATGGCCCTAAAAACAGGTAGGGAATGTTGGCATTTCTCAACTCAAGCACCTGAGGTAGCACCAGAGGCCTTTCCATCCCTACCCCTCTTGCCCCTTATACTACCTGACCCTCCATTCAGTCTTAGATGAGAAAGTCTGGGTCTCATAGTTGCTGGTGGTAGAGGTGATGATTTCGTCACCATGCTTGTTGACAGTACGAGTCTGGGTTGCAGTCAGCTGTGACTGTTCCTTGGTCTGCTTCTCAATCTCGGCTATCTGCTGCCGCTGCTGTGATGGTGCAGAGATCTCCATACCCAGGATGATGTCTCGAATTTCTGATTGTGTCAGTGATGCCACATTCACACTGTGGGGACAGTGTGGGTCACACCACAAGGATCCCTTCCCCTTGGTCACTTACGTCCCAATGGCAAGGTGTAACTTGGTGGGACAGGAGAGCCCATACTTTGACCCCAGATAATCTTCAACTGACACTTGAAGTGTGAGGTGGAAATACACTAATACGGATAAGATTTGTCACATCCCAGGCTGGCCCTGTGCCTATACACCTTTCAGCCATGCTCAAACCTGCTCAGCATCCATACCTCCCACTTTTCCTCAACAAAAAGTGCCCTGGAACTGGAAAACTCTCAAAAACGGAAATCCTAGAACAAGTTCTCAATCACAGTTGGTGTGTCCACACCCTTACTGGGTGAACATTTTTGGTTGCCACAATGACAAGGAAGGAGAGGGAAGGAAGAGGTGTGTGTGTGTGTGTGTGTGTGTGTGTGTGTGTGTGTGTGTTATTAGCTGTGGTATCTGAGGGTCTGGGATGTTAGAACTTCCTGCAATGTATGGACAGTAAGGAAACGCCCTGCTCAAAATGGCAACAGTGCCTCTGCTAAGGAATAGCGCCCAAGTGTCCGCCTGAGCCCTGAGACATGAACACTTCCTACACCATCTGAAGACACTGCCTACCTACCTCTCCTCTATAGGCATCTCTAGGACAATTTCTTGAGAAAGTTCTGAGCTTAAAATGTTGCAAAAAACCAAGAAGGCATATACTGAGCCACCCATTTTACCCTTTTTGGATCTCTCATCTGTATCCCCACCACTGCTCACTTGTTTTTCTTGCCATAGTCAGCCAAGATAAGGTCCTTGAGCTGCACCTCCACCTTGATCCACTCCTCGTCAGTCAGAGTGGGCCAGATGTGGTGTGGTTCTGTGATCGTAGTCTTGTCTGGCTTCAGGATGACCTTCGCCCGGTCGTTGTTCACATGCAGGGCACGCAGAATCAGGATGAGGCGGGAGAAAGCCTGGGGAGAGATGTGGCAGCATGGGAGGAGGTCGGCTACTTGATGTTCTTCCCCTCTCCTCCAGCCTATCCTTTCAGGAGACCCAAGAACCCATTTCAAACCCTATGGTGCTCCCCTCACCATGAGTCAACTTGATATGCAGAGTCACTGGCCCATGCACAGGCTGAAGATGTGAAAATGGCCCCATAAGAGGCCTGTGGGAAAACCTAAGGCACAGAACCTTCCTGTGACCCCCAAACCCACTCCTCTTAGAGTGACCCTCCCTCCTCGTGAGGTGGCTTCATACCGTGTAAGATGAGATAGTCTTGAGCCAGTCATCATAGAGGTTAAAGAGAACCATCTGCGGCTCAGTGGCTTTAAGGATGAGATCCCCAAACTTTTCCACCTTGAGACAAGCCTGGAAGGGGAGCTGGAGCTCTGATCCTTTGATCACAATATTGGGGAAGTCCAGCAAGTGCACCTGAGACAAGATCAAGTCCAAGTTTAGAAACAGAACCAGCAGGTCTCAGCCCTCTTTCCTTCTACCTCATTCACCACCTCTCACCTCCAATGGATCGAGCATGCCTTTCCTGGTGACAATGATCTGCTTGGGCTGCTCCTCCACTGGTAGAGATCGGATCAGGGCAGCCACCTCCTCAGCTGTCTTCCACTTAGCCAACTAAAAAGCAAGAGAGAAGAACATGGAAACTGAGTCTCCACCCTCCCAGGTCAACTAGAACAAAAAATTCTAGTCTTAAAATAATTAGACTAT